GTAAAAAAGCCTGTTAGACATCGTAGTTCATCCCTACTATAGACTAACAACTGTTTGGCATCACGCTTCGAAGGGTGAATAAACGCCTTGGAGTGAGCCAATCCTGGAAGAGTCTGTCAGAAGTCCATAAATCTTCTTGCCATCCAGGTGTTTAATCTTTATTTGGCAAAGTCTAAAGCGATGCCAATAACAGGTACTGGTCCGATGAAGCTGATTGCAGCATCTCCTTTTGCAAGGTAGTCAGCCGTCTCATTGCCTTCCAGGCCAGTATGACCAGGAATCCGGACCAGAGACAGTCTGTTAAGTCTTTCTATCGAGGAGAGTTGTTTTTGTTTAACGCTGCTTGACTGTCCGATTCTGACTGTTGGATTCTTCCAATCTCTCCGCACATAATTCAATAGAGCAAATCTCCGCTTTAAATACCGTCCTAGGTAGGTTGATGTCTCTGTCTTGGGTCTGCGACCGAAAACACCTGCACTAGAACCAGAAGGTGTTTTTGATCCATTTGTCAACCAACAACTATCTGCTCTTAATATTTTGTTCTTTCGAAAGATCCAGTCCTCTCTACTCGGGAACAGTACTTCATAAGGCAGTTCGTGGTTGACAGTTGGAGTCGTAAATATATCATTTTCAGAATGCTGTGACTTCCAGTGTCAACCAACAGTTTGTTGCACTCTTAATTAAAGTGATTAGTGCAATTGGCAATGTGCACAGGTCCGGAAAAATATGGAGAGGAGGTTGATTCAGAAGGATCTCTATGGCCGTTGATGGTGTTGTACTGATGGCATCACTGATGGCCAGATAAGCCTGTTTCTGTAAGTCAGAGAGCTTTCTTCCTTCGTTCTATCTGAGATGGTTTCATCGATATCGTATGCAAATTGTATTGTATCAAATTTTGTCGTAAATGATATAATTTTGCATTTGGAAATGATTAAATTGAGGCGGTTTTTGCGCACCAATCAGTTGAAGGTTTAACTACTCTTGCAATCTGGTATAATCATCTATATTGATAACAGAGGTATATAAGTTCATATCATTTACAAACATCAATCTATTGCAGTATAATGTGTTGCATAAATCATTTATGGAAAGTAATGGTCCACGATTAGATCCTTGAGAGACTCCACTAATGGTGAATCCACGTTCAATATGCCCCAACTCCTAGGCCCTTTGTCATATTTATGAACAGTTTTGCATCTATTTGCAAAATTCAAATTCATGAATGTCATTCCGATTTGGAAGACATGAATCGTATGACATTCAGAATTCTCAGTTGAGTTGCCTCCATCAAACTAAATCACAAGTAGTATCTCCAGTTACGGGACTGAAAAGCATTTATTCGTCAGGGAGTCGAAACTTGATTAAATAAACTCGAGTCCCGTCATTTTCCGAGCAGATTAGGAAAATCTACGCTCGCCAGGTGTTCATCTCAATCTACGATTGAGGGGTAAGCCATAGTCTTTGTGATCATATTAAAAAGATTCGTGTTCCACGGCGATATCCTAACCTAGGACAGACATTATCTTGTATTACGAATGGGCGGAATTAAATTACCCGGTGAATGGAATGGGAGTTATAATCGCAGGGTTCATTATAGCATTCTCACGTTCAAGCAGTGTTTGCGACGGCGATTACCCGTAAATGTTTTGTTTATTCCAGGAACAAAGCATACTCGGGAGAAGTGTAGTCGGCTTAGAGAACTCCGATCCAGACATACTGAAAAATGACTTACTGACTAGGGCGCAAATATTGTAGAAAAAGTCTGTAGCTGTTGGTGGTACTAGTGCCAAATCTCACAGTTTACTTTTTCTGAATATTTGTTCAGAGAACAAAGATCCATACTGTTAACGCGGGTGGTTCCTGAAATTCTCGGTCCAATTAAGAAAACACACTTTTGTCAGCGACGTTCAATAAGTTCGATACCATTTTTATATTAAAAACTGTCTTGCTGCTCGAAACAGCCAGTAACTGCTGACATCACTTCTTCATCGTTGAAAAAATCTCTGACAACTGAGGCATTTTTTCAAGTTTGGGGACAGAAAAGAATCCGAGGTTGCTGAATCTGCCGAATAGGGTACATGAGGTAACAATTTAAACTTTAATTCGTTAATTTTGATTATTGCGATAATGGATATGTGAGCTGGTGCATTATCTTGATGGAGCAATACTACTTTTTAGACAAATGCGGCTGTTTCTGCTTGATTTCTCCACTCAAACGTTGCAATAAGTTCGCATAATACTCGTCGTTGATAGTTTTATCTTTTTAAAGATGATTAAAGAACTGATGCCATGAGCGTGCCTGTAGATGAAAGAAGCTTCACCTTCTTTGCAGCCGGTTCTCCCTTTTGGGTTTATTGTTTTGATTGTTCTCGAGTTAGAGTGATGGACCTATTTTTTATCCATGGTTATCAAACGACGCAAGAATTCCGCTTTGTTGCTGTGAAACTTCGCTAAACACTCAACTGAAACATCTTCACGACACTGTTTTTGGCACCCCATTGGCACACAGCTTTCTTATGTACAAATTTAAAATCATATACGATGTATCGTACTTTTTGCAGTGCCTGCTAATTCTGCTAGCTCGCGCTCTTCTTCCGAAAGATAGTACACACTGAAAAGCTGAACTGCTGAAGCAGTTTTTCGAGTCCCAGTACTATTTATGTTTCTTCTAGACCCATTTATCAATCTGGTTTCATACCAAAAATTTTGGAATCATCAGGGCTGGTTGAGAGGCTATTGTATATAAAGTTGATGATCCGTGATCGTTGTCTGCGGTGTCTGAGTGTCCAGCACACAGTATATAGTCAATCTATTTCTCTCCCTCATTTTTCTCAGTGCTTCAAGTACTCTCAGATCACTTCGATGTCACTTTTGGGGTTGTCAGTGCCCCAAATTCCAGCATCTGTTCCATGTTCGATTTTTGACCCTTTTGTATAACAGTGTTTTTGACGAGGATGTTCTCAGGATGACTGTTCATTTCATTCTCAAATCTTTGTGGTTTAGGACTTCAATCGCGAGGTTTGTATTGTATTTGAAACAATTCACCATCTTCATTTTGAAAAAATGAAAATTTGTGGTGAAGAACCATCTACTGGTTTCGAAAGAGAAATTTTCTAGATCACTCCTTTGAGTTACTTGATGAATAATATATATTTATATTTGCGAAGAATGAAAACTCAAAGTCGTCTTGACAATTTAATGTCACCATCAGATGATAGAGCGGTAAAACCATCAATCAGTACATGTTTCGAACCTATATAGGTTCATTATCAGCTGATATTTAAAATTCTACAATAAGAGAAGAACAACATAATAATAGTTAATACAATGCAATGAAATTACTTACATTTAGAAGAAAATATTTTACTTTAAATTATAACGGAGAAAAGAAAATCAATTCATATAATTATTGAAACAAATAGTCACCATGACATTATTAATACATTTTTTTATATAGTAGAAAAAAGCAGGAATTTATCACTTCATATTTCTCATTAATTGAACTATGTTCGGCTTGAAGCCTTCATAACCACCCATTAACATCGAAATCATCAATTGGCACATGGAAAGGACTTATAAAGAAAATGTCCGAAATGAATAGAATGAGAGAGGGAAATCAACTGTCAAAATTATATCAAGAGATGGAGTCGAGATGACTTGGAACAATGACTAGAGATCCACAAACTCAGAACACAGCAAGAGTTGAAACACTACATACAAATCGACTCGTGTTCTGAGCAAACAGATTCCATACCATCTATACGTGCCATCTTGTTACAAAATTGAGGGGTTTATGAAAGACTAAGGAAGGGGAAATTTAGTTAAAATTAAGAGAAAATTATCTGAGGACAATTCGTTCAGGCCAGTCTCAACTTCCTACACAGTAGGTTAATGGACTGACACCTATCAGAAAACAACTACTCCCCTGGCTAATACCACGAAGGGCGTTGGATTATATCCGACAGGTCTCAGTGCAGGATTCTCCACAGAAGTTATTCCTGCATATGCTGTTGGCGATACAATTACCACAATAGATTTTCAATTATTGGAACACACTTGCAGACCGGTTTCGGTTACGAAAATTGAAAAACTTTTGGCAATCGAACTGTACTTGTTCATTGAGAGATATGACATTAGAGTTATCAATAGCAGAATAAATTTCAAAAATGTCAAGTAAATTGAGTAAAGTTTCTTTTTAGCAGACGTGTTAAAATATCTGAATCAGAATCAATATCAAAACTATCGTTGTAATTAAGACTGTGGTTAGAGAATGAGCTTTAAGTGTTATGATCATTTAAGTTTAGGTTTCTGAAATTATCAATTAATTTACCATGTTCAAGAACCCTTGTTTTAATTTTCCTGCCACTTTGTCCGACATACAGAGCAGAACAATTTGGTTGTGAACACGAAATTCTGTAAACGCCAGATTTATGAGATTTGTCCAGATTTGAAGTTTCGATCTGTAGGTGATCTACTCGACTGATTTCAGCAGAGTCCTGCTGCTGGATGAATGAAAAACATCTGCAAGAGTTTCGTCTCACAGATGTTCCTCGAATCTGCAAGACTGCAAGACTAACCTCTTGCAGACGTCTGCTAGACTAACAGCTTGAAGATTCTCATTCATCTAGCAGCAGAACCATGCTGAAATTAGTCGACTAGACCGGTTTCGAGGTTTTGGTTTGTAGGAGATCTACTCGACTGATTTCTGCATGGTCCTGCTGCTGTATGAACTAAAAACATCTGCAAGATTAACCTCTATGAGGTATTTTGCATAAATATCTGCCGGATATAATTCAATGCCCAGCGTGGTACCAGAACTTACGGTGTAGGTACTCTGGGAGAGATGTATGCTTCGAGATTTTATTTTCAAATATTTATTTCAAATTTCCTCCACAACATATTTTGAGCCACTTATGAATATACTTTGAATGCATGTGTGTGACATAACCCTATCAAAATATGTAGATGATATATTGATGCAATATATTTCCGTAGGTACCATTTTGAACAGAATGGCGAAAGATGAAACGTTCATTGCACTTCTAGTAATAACATTAATAGGTGAGTAAATTTTAGTAATAACATTAGTAAGTGAGTAAATTTTCATTCTTTATGCTGTATATTTGCTGATATACACTTTGAAAACATACAATTTGCCTAATTTTCGAAGGGTACAAGATATCTTAGATGGACAAACTTCACATAAAATAGTATAATTTTGGATTCTTCCTGATAACGAATGAAATAGTGTTGCATCGCTCGTTATTTAGAAGAGAAGAGTTCTTGTGATACCTCTTTCGATAGGTGATTTGATTTTTTATTCAACTCTGAGTGATTTTGGGAATTGGATAGACTATTTCTGAGTAACCAGCTGTCTTATATTCATTTCAGGAATCTTCAAAAAACGATGAATATCATGCACAAAGAAAATTTTCCGACAATAATGGAATCTATCAAAAATTTCGTCTCTTATATTATGAAATGTTTCTGGAATATTGGAAGCACCTCTTCTCGTATCCACGAGGAAATAGAAACATGAAATAATTTTATTGGAATATATAGGAATAATACGATCTTACAACTGATAATACTGTCGTAAGTTTCCATTCGAGTCATAAACCACTTCTGAGATCAGCGACATTTGTGTATCGCAAAACAAAGATGTGAATTATCCCCTCGAAATCATCTAGAACTGTCACATCAGGTTATATCTGATGGTCCCTTCTACGAAACGATTTAGACAATTAACGAATCGAAATGAGATTTCAGCTAATATTATCTTACACCTTTCCATTAATGAAGATGGTAGCGCCACCTTGGCGCAACCATAACGTTTTTCCTATCAAAAAGTACTGAAAATGATACCTATTACGTAAATTACAAATGAAGTTGAGAAGGAGAGACTTACCATCGCACTGAGAGATATACAGCTCCATGCTCCAATAACACTACCATATTTTCTGTTTCAAGGTGATCTGATTAGTTTTATGGTCTTTTTTGATTCATATGAAATTTGAATTGTTGAACAAGTGAGGAGATATGAATAATAACCCCAGATCAATTATTGACCTGTGCTCTTAATTTGGATCAACAAAGTACAGAAACAATTTATCTTTTTAATGAATAGAGAAACGTTTGCGTATCAGTGAGCTAATTCATTCCTGTTCCGGAAAGGTACTGGAATACTATTCAAAAAACAGCGATGTTTCACTTTCAAATATACATACATACATAATGATGAATGATAAGTTGGATTCCTCCAAAACAATTCAATAAAACAACTATCTATCAATGATAGGAGTTACTGAGCTGTCAACATCCACTTCACTACAATATGATGATGAAATATATAGAATCACAACCTTGAAAACCATGTTTTCGTTTAAATGCAATAATATTTCTGAGAATTCAGTGCCTGCTATTACGGAATTGTACTATAGTGCTATACTATACTCATTATAGTACTATATTCATTATCGTTCAAGTTTGAGAATGTCCATATAGAACGAAACTGCAGTAAGGTTAGTTACAATTAAAAGTGGTAAAAAACATAGAAATTTTCATTTCTCTTTTCATTATTCAAAATGGCTATTTGGGTTTGACCATTTACATAGCTCTCACAAGTTTTCGAACTAAGAGAAAGAAACAGAAGAAATATCATATAAAAACAAGATTATGAAATTTATATTCGAGAAGTTTCAATGTTTTGTTCAAAGAACGTAATAAGTGTTGGCATGAATATTTTTTTAAGAATACAACGAAATATGTATCCACCGTTTCTCCCACCCAGGAGAAAGCTCATGTAATCCAGTCATTTTAGGTTTTTCAAACCTCAATCTGCGAAAAAATTCCTACTGAGATGAATTTTGGCATACATCTCCATTATGGCGTTTTAATGAAGATGTGAAAAATCGACATTAATATAGTGTCGGCTAAAAAAGTCGTAGGTCAACAAAGGTCATGATAAAAATTATTTTTCATACGATTATCTAGAGAAAATGTCTGTAGCATTTTCTGTAAAGTCAACCGTTTTCGGAATAGAGCGCTGAGAAAGCGAGTAGAATGCACTCACATAGGGTTTTGTATACCGTATACATATAAGACGTCCACTCTATTGCTTTTTATCAATGTATTTAAGTTTTCTTAAAACTTCCAACTTCTATTCGGGCGTTTTGTGACAAATATACTCATATTATAGAAGTTTCGTTAGTTAATAGTTGAAACAGCAATTGAAAAATCAGTAAATAATACTACAATTATCGTTGGCGAAGACATAAATCTATTGGTACTTCTCATAGCACGCACACAAATACTTGATCATCCCACATCCATTTTTACAAGAAACCAGGAAAAAATAATGTTGAAACAAAAATATACTCGACTGAGAGCCTCAACAAGTATCCACATTGCAAAAAAAAATATTCTGTTTCTACATGCTATGGCCGGATGTGACACAACTTCAATATTTTTTGGGAAAGGAAAAATTAAAGACATGAAGATGTTTAAAAACAGACCCAATTTACACAATTCTGCAGAAATATAGCAATGTACGGTGCTCCAAAATCTGAAAATTCAATTGACAGTTACAGATACTGCAGCTTTGCTAAACTAACAATAACATTTTTTGTAGACAATTGTATGATGAATAATTTTTATAATAACATGTATTGACCTTCGAGACATAGATCGCGAGATATTCCCGAAAAACTGATTTTCTTGACCTTTTGACCCTTATAACTTTTTTAGCCGACACGATATCAATGTCGATTTTTCACATCTTCATTAAAACGCAATAATGTATGTGTACACCGAAATTTAGCTCAGTAGGAATTTTTCCGCAGATGAAACCTTAAATGACTGGACTACTGAAAGTTTCGAATAATTGAAACTCTTTCAGCTCAGGAGAAGTGTAAATGTAATTTCGACCCCCATTCCATTTTGATCGTGATACATAGGGATTTCAATGTCGTGTAATTCTAATCCATGTACCTCCTAAAACAGCAATTTCATTCCACCTACACAACTCTAAACGATACGATAAATAAAAGAAAATTATGCTCCACAAAAAATCCGTTACAGCTTTGTTCTGATGGATCTGAACGAATCCCCAAAGTGAACGAATTTAAAACCATCGTTTAGAGATAATTCAGAACAAATCTACGGTTACTGTGCAGTTGATTTCATTTTGATTCACGACGCGGAAATTTTCTGTTGTAATTCGATTTGAGACACATGGATGGAATCGTTAAGAAATATGCAAGAAGCATTTTTTATCCGAAAAATATCATGAGTTTTTCCGTACGAGGTTAACAAAAAATTTAAGACTAGAAAAACAATTTTTGTTATATGTTCTGTTGACTGGGGCACCGCACTTCAGAAAATGCACTATTGTGTATAGTCGAAGTAACTGATATAGTAACTCTTGAAGCTAGCGGTGAACTCAGCTAGCGGATTAAAATGTGACGTCCTTGGACAAGTACTAATAGTAATAACGAGTGTGATAAAAACGCAGACTTTTTCCTGTGTAGTGATTCCAATAGCGCTGGTGAACAATGCGAAAGAAAGATACCAGTGAATAAGATTCGGATGCATTTGAATATTGAAACACAGAGAGTATGTTTCAATGTTTATAAGAATTTACATATCAAGTTTTGTTTCGAGGGAAAAAAACTATTACAAGCAATATCAGATTTGACCGAAATTCCCTTCTCAACTGTACGTAAAATAGTCAAAAACAAACCTTATGAACGCAAGACGCGATTTGATGCGGGATTACCAAAACCTTTAGATGTTCATCTAATAAAATCATTGATAAAAATCAATATACGACTATTACAAAAGCAATGAGATTCCTACAATTGAAATTATAAGGAAGAAATTGAATACTTCCGGCCATAACGTGAGCTGCTGTGACAAAACTCTTCAGAATTGTATAAAGAAACTAGGATTTAGATTTGAAATAATAAACAAACGTCAACCAGTTATGGAAAGCAGAAGAAAAGTGGAATTGCGTAACAAATACTTGGAACAAATAACTGAGTATAGACAAGAACAACGGCAAATTTTCTATTTGGACGAAACTGGGTATGACACTCACGACACAGTTACGAAAGAGTGGACTGATGTTTCGAGAATGTGTACGCCTAACATGCCTGCAAACGAAGGATCGCGACTAATCATTGTACATTGCGGAGGAAGTAAAGGATGGGTTCCGAATTCTTTGAATGAATATTTTTTAAGAAACTCAGATACCTATTCAAATTTCTAAAGAAATAGGGTATATACGTATATAACTGTTCGTACTGTAGTGCAGTAGTGTAGTTTTTCTGTAAAAAATCATTATAAGAAATGACAACTTGATAGTAAATGTTGACATATGTCATATGTCATTATATATTGCGATATTAGGGAGCAAAATATTCATATCTACGAGTGGAAGCATATAATGGAAAATAAATATCCCTGGGTTCAAGCCCCAGGGTGAACGCTTGATTATCACTTGCTATCGTCCAACCCGTGTTAGGAATCACACGTTAAAAGGTAAGACCTCATTAGTCCTTACCTCGCACAAGTTTCGACTTCTGAGGGTAATCGTTCGTAGGGGTGCGACAGCTAATTAATGAAAAAAAAAACATATTTTTCCCAAACACTCGGAATTCGAAAGTCGTGGATTGAACAATATCATCATTCTGTATAGGTATAGAAACATTAACTGAAACAAACAACAACATGATTCCAATTATCTAAACAAGGAAAAAATTTATTTATTCTTAATACAGTTCAAAAAATAATTCATTGACATTAAAAACCATACCGCCTGTAATTCTCGAGTTAAATGAAGATCTAAAAGAGATTCTGACAGTTCCTATACACTTTGTTATGGCTTCTTATCAAGTCACTGACTTGGATATCCAAAAACTCCAAAAAATTACTAACAAGCAATGACAATTGAGCAGGTGCATTATCGAAATGCAAAAGCCCTTAATTGTTTTTTTATAATACCCGCCGTTTTTTCATTATTGATGGTACGACCATGTGGCAAGACCTCCTGATGCATTATG